TACTGCTATGAATTGTAATGTAAGTATCTGATGTGCAAGATGATCTTAGGAGACCCCTGTGAAAGGGTCATTTGACCCCCTCCTCCCGGGTTTGAGAACCACTGGACTGGAAGTTTCAAAATTCCTAACTTGATTCAGTAACCCCAGATGGTTCAAGAAAATTCCAAATAGGTCTCATGCACTTTCCAAAAATGAGAATGTAGTAGATAGCAAAAGGAGAAAACGAGGGTGGAGACAGGAATCCGGTTGCTACCAGCCACCTCGTGTCCTGTCTCATTCATTCGAGCACAATTGGTTAGAATTATAGAACCCATTCCCAAGATCTAACAGTAGGGGGTGCAAGTGAGGCTCAAGGGTGCAATATTTAATGAGGCTCTCAGTGCCAGAGCTGTGTGAGTAAGCAGCTGCCATGGGCAAGGCCCTGAAAAGGCATACTTCTTTAAATCACATAGGTCTCTACTACTAGGTGTGGCCTGGTACTGCCCTAGTAACAAAGTGTTTATTAAAAAGGAAGGAGCAGGTGTTCCAAGGGGAATCCAGACAGTAATTCTCTTCTCTGACCCCCACAAGCACACCTTGCTGGTAAGATACAAAACTACTATCCAAGAAAACAGAAAGTCTAACAGCAACATTGCAGAACTAGACACTAACACGGGGTCAATTGATTCACTGCTTCAGAGCAGATACAATGTAGCAAAAACATGTAAGTAACTCTTGTCCTGCCTTTATTATTAGTATGTGTCCATGCTAGGTATACTCAGTTGATGATTTATTTGTTTATTTTAATTTTTATGTATGTGTGTGAGTCTGTGTGAGTTTATGTGTACCACATGCATGCAGGAACCGGCAGAGGTCAGAAGAGGGAGTCAGATGCCCTGAAACTGGAGCCATAGGCAGTTGTGAGCTGCCTGCCTTTGTGGTTGGGAACTGAACCCCAGTCCTCTGTAAGAGCAGTAAGTGCTCTTAACCTCTGAGCCGTCTCTCTAGCCCTCCACCTCAGTTTTGTTGGACAGTGTCCCTCACTGATTTTGGGGTTCCTCTGTTTGGCCACAGGTCTGCTAGTGTCTGCCTAGCCTGACAGCACAGACACCCACACTCGCTGCTTTTATGGGACCTGGTGACCTGAGCTCAGGCTGTCACGTTTGCAGAGCAGTTATTTACTCACTGTGGCATCTCCCTAGCCTCTACCCTTATTGTTGAGCTTCTTTGCAGAAATCCGGAGACTTCTGGACTCTTCCAGAACAAATGATAGACTCCCTTAAGTTCTACACTTCCATCAAATGCCACTGAGCACTGAGGCTGAGGCTGTGTGGCACTTGTCCAGTACTTTTACCAAAAATAACTGGAGCTCCCACCCCACCCCCTGCTGTGCTCAGTGGAGTGTCCCAGAAGCCCACACAGCCTTTGCTGTGAGGCAAGTGAGACAGCTCTAATGAAAGCCACTTGGCTGTCACCAGGGAGGAGTCTGCTCTACACCAGGTCACTGCTCCACCACCCTTCACTAAATAAAGACCAATGCCTCTGAAGTGACACCCAATCAGTTGGAAGGTGACAGGGACTGCTTTTCAGGTACTCTCTGCCCCAATCCTGCCTTCCTGTGGCCAGCAACTATGTGATCATGGTAGCTCACAACTATCCCTAACTCCAGTTCCGGTGGCCTCTGACACCTTCTTCTGACCTCTGTGGGCACCAGACACACACTTAGGACACATACATACAGGCAGGCAAAACACTCATGCAAACAGATTTAAAAAAAAAAAATTAAAGTCTTTAAAAATGAAACAAAACACGTGTGTGTGTGTGTGTGTGTGTGTGTGTGTGTGTGTGTGTGTGTTGCATCCCATAGGATGAATCATTCACGAGTGTCTTCCACCTGCATGTGTGGGCACTTGCTGATAAACCGAAGTTGTCAATCAATACCCAGGCAATCAGTTAGAGGCTATGTAGGGACCACTTGGAAGCCTTCATGAACTTTGAGGGGCATAGAAGCCTCCTTTCTGAAGCTGACTTTGAAGCTAAGATAGGAAAGATGAGATTCTTCTGTGGGATGCATCAGAGAAACATAGTTCAATCACAGAGGTTTTAGCTAAGACAGTGTGCTTTCCAAGAGCTGAAATGGGAGGTGAGGATGTAGATTAGTAAGTGGAATGCTCACTGCCTCATATGCACGAAGCCCTGGGCTCCATTCCCAACGCTTTTCCAAACCGGGAGTGATGAAGCACACCTGTAATCCCAGCCCTCAGAAGGTAGAGGGGGGAGCATCAGAAGTTCATGTTTATCCTTGTCTATAAGAGCAAGAGGGAAGGTAGCCTGAGGCACGTGAGAGAGCCTACCACAAGACAGAGGCAAGCAATAAATAAAATGAGTAATCATTTCAAAACTGAAAACCAGAAAAGAGTTTGACAAGTTTAAAGAGCTGTAGTCAAAGGGATGCTTCCTAAATGCAAGCCAATTAACTCTGACCAGCCAGCTGAAGCCACATGCCATGTCTGGAGGAAACACCAGTCATCTAAGGTAGAGGATGCAGAACTAGGGAGATGGCTCCGTAGGTTTAGTACAAGCTCGAGGAACTGGGTTCAATCCCCTGGACCCATGTAAGAAAAGATGTGGTGGCACAAGCTTGAAATAAGGCTGCACAGAGGGGTTGGCAGCGCCCCAGGGCTCACTGGCCCATAAAGACTGTCTCAAAGACAAGCAAACAGCATGTACAGCTCGTGGTCTCTGGCCTCCATGTGCATTCACATAAGTACACACACACACACACACACACACACACACACACACTCACGAAGGCTTGTGTACAAAAGAGCAGGGGACAAACACATACCATTTGAAAAGAGAAGGGAATGCAAGGCAGGGAACACATTTGTATATTATAAACTGAGAGTATATTATAAACTTAAGAGTGATGAAACTGAGTCAATAGCAGGAATTAAAACAGTATTTTTGGTGTATGGTAGACTAATCTACAGAGAAAGGAATCCCCTGTGATGTTGCATTTGGCAGTGTCTAGCTGTTCGAGATGAGCACTGAGCAGGCCCGTCAGCATTTCTGGACTCTGGGTTTCTATGGGTCTCTCTTTTCCTGTCGACACTGGGCATTGCCTAATTTATAGAAGAGTTAGGGGCTGCCCTCTGATTGACACAGCCCAGTCTGTGTGTGTGTGTGTGTGTGTGTGTATGTGTGATATCAGTTTGGTTTTTTTAAACCAACCAACTGAACAAAATCATATGCTCCATTCAATCTTAAAAACAAAGACAAAACAAAACAAAAAAAAAACCCACATCTGTTTCTTCTAATCTAGTCTGGCAGTTTCTAGTCTGATTAGATCTTCTTGTCTTCCATACCTGTATTCCTCATCTATGTTATTATGAGCCACTCACTTCAAGCCTCTTATGTATTGGTTCATTCTCTGTTCCTGTGACACGGTAATTGGTCTACAAGTGAAGCGTTGGACAGATGTCATTCATGAGCACCCCTTTCGCAGTTCCCATGGGCAGCAGTGGTTAGTAATGCCGGTCTTTATCAGCCCTTCATATGACTCCACCAGTTTCTCCTCCTTGGGTGAAGGACTGACTCTTACAGCATCACTTTCTTCATAGAATGGAAACATGGAGACAGAGCAGATGGTTTACAATATAGCAAAGAGTTCTCCCATCAGGATACCTGCTTTCTGGCTGTAACAATTTAGTCTCAATTCTATGACACATACTTGGGGGATTTCTCTCCATTGACTGACTAATACCCATCAAACCAGGATGACTAAAATGAGATTTCCTACAGAGAAAGGAAGTCAGTCCTATGTCATCTTAGAGATGAGAGGATTTGGATGTCATCAGGCCTACTGACCTGTGAAATAGATGACTCTCTGTGACTCTCACTGAAGATCACTTGGCTCATTAGCTCAGACTGGGGTCACCTCTGATGACCAAGAATGGTCTAGCTTTTGAGTAAAGGAAGAGAAAGACCTCCCTCAGAGATCAAGGAGCATCTACATCGGCCCTACATCAGTCCTTTGTAACGATCATCCCTTTGTCCCTGCAGTCCTGGACCCTGTGGTGGCCCACTGTGGGATGATGGGCAAATCCCAAGGGTCTAGCCCTTGTTAGCTTTTGGTTCCACCAAATGTAGGTGCTAAAACTATAATTACTCTTCCCTTGGCAAAGCCAGGCAGGATGATGTTTGGAGAGTGTCAGCAGTGATCAACTTAACTTTGCAAGTTTGTTTGAGGAAGGTCATGGAATCAGGAGCAGGGGGATTCAAATCCTTTCCATCCCTGTCCATCTTAGTGTTTCAGGAATATTTACAGGCCTCCACAATGTTTACCAGGGCCAGCTATATTGTTGGGCCATGGAGGTTTATGTGGAAGCTTGGTAATTACACAAAGGGCCACACCTTAATGGGTTCATGGAAGCTGAACCAAGTCAATATATATAAAGGACAGAGCAGCGCCTGGTACAAGCTAGCCACCTTAATAAACTTGTAAGATTCATTCATCATCTACATAGGGCAGGGATTTGAAGACAGAACAGTGATGAGGGCAAGAGTCAGCTTCTAGGAAACTTACAGTCCTAATAGGGAGACAGACTCAAGGCTGCAGCTTGACAGCAGGGGGTCTCAAGAAAAGCTGCACTTAAGCTGCGATATAGCTCTCTCTAGGTCACAGGTAAAACACACAGCCCAGTCTCCCTGGACACAGACAGACCCTTAATTAGCTCTTCTGGGGAAAAGATGGGGCTGAAGGGACAGGTTGGGGCACACACAGCTGGTAAAAGAGTCTGTTCTCTAAAAGACAAGCAGGAACTGGGAGCTTCGCCCTTGCTGTCTGCGCTCCGAGAGGAGGTAGGAACAGGGCAGCTGGGGGCCAGGTGGGCCAGAGGCCGGGGGAGGGGACCTGGGCGCTCCTCCTTCTGAGCCATCTCTGCCTCCTCCTTCCTCTGTCTTCCTCCTCCGTTCTGGTCCTCCTCCTCCTTCTCCTCCTTGGAGCGGCTCCTCCTCTTGGCAGGCTGCCGCCCAGTCAGCTGACGCCGCGATCCAGTCTCGCCTCCCCGCCACTGTCCCCCAAAGTGGCTGCTGGGCGCCGGCGGCCGCCCACTTTCAGGCTTTGGGGAGACAGGGAAAATGATGTACACCTTCTGACGTCCGGGCTCACTGCATCGTCTTGTCAACTTTCACTCCCCACTCTGTCCTGACCCTCCCCAAATTCCTCCTCGAAGCCACTCAGGGTGCTGTGCAAGCTCTGGGGGCAGCCGGGTTGCTGTCTGTCTGGGATGGCTTCCAATTTTAATGACATAGTGAAGCAGGGGTACGTGAGGATCCGGAGCAGACGCCTAGGGGTACGTATTCATTCTTTCCATGCTCCTTGTTCGCGACTTCAGGGTCTGTGTCTGCAGCCAGCATCCCGGCGCTGGGGACTTGCCTTGCGCGGTGGCTCTCACAGCCAACATCCCAGGCTACTGCCACTGGGGCGCTAGCGCCAGTGTCTGGGTATGTCATGGAGCTATCTTTATCTCTCGGAAGGCTTGACTTTCTAAAGGTGGCCACCGGAGCCAGTTGACTTGAAATAAATATTTTCCGGTAGCCATGGGTGCTGTATCTGAACAGCCCAGCAAGGTGCCGAGCCTGCCGGATGTCCCCCGCTGAGTCCCACTCCCGCCAACTTAACTTTTCCAGGGGGGTGGATGGAGGCCAGAACAGAGGGCAGATGCCCAGAGGGGAATCAAGGTCAGGGAAAGGACTATCTGGTCCCAAGGACTCTGCTCTGGACTCTGCTCTGCGGCTCAGGTGTTAGCAGAGGTGGAGAGAGCTGGCCTTGGACAGGGCCATTTCCTTGGTAGAAACCAAGATCTGAATTTCCTTACTCTTGAGCCTGGGCAATGGGTTTCTGTGTTTTAGACTCCACCTTCCGAGTCCCACTGAATGATCATTTCTTGTCGAGCATGGTACAGGTGTAGAGATGCTGGAATAGGAGCAGAAAGGAAAGAAGGAGGGATGGAGGGAGGGAGAAAGGGAGGGAGGGAGTATCGCAGTGACTTCCTTTTAAGACTCTTTTCTCTTGTTGGGGGTGCTTTAAGAGAAAACCACCCTGCCTTTCTTTGAGTTTTAAGTGATGGTACCCTCTTCAAGGAGGGGAGGATACTGGAATATATAATCGTGTGTGTGTGTGTGTGTGTGTGTGTGTATGCTATAGGTCAACTCATTTCTTCTTGCCATGTGTGAAATACTGTGGCTGTTTTTGTGGGTTTTCATTTGCCAGAGGCTGGGGGTGAGGCAGGGATGGGAAATAAGTTTACTAGTAGTAGTGAAAGCTGTTGTTAGTGAGTGTCAGTGGCTCAGCTAGGGTGAGTGGTTCATTGAGTACCTTTCTCCACAAATATGTGACATCTGCTATCATTCATTTATTTGGTCTCTGGACTTCAAAAAAAAAATGTGCCTTTAATTTGATTGAGAGTAAAAGAAATTTCTCAGTGGTAAATCTTGGAGTGCCCTGGATTGAGACCCCTCCCCCTTGCTGGTTACTTTGTTTGAACAGTAAAGTTCAAGTCTGTGACTGTTATAAACACAGCATTAAGGAGAATGGTAACAGAACTAACAGACCTTACTGGGTTTGCTACAGTATCATTGGTTCTCCCTGGGGTCCTCAAGTGAGAGACTTCTGTGTGAAGAGGAAGACATCCCAAGAGCATCACACTGTTTATTATCTGGTGGTTGACCAAGTAACACGGCTTTTTAAAGAGTGTTAGAAACTAAACTTACATTTCCTCCGTCATGTCAATGGAAGGGATTGGGACTAGACATTCATTCCATGCTAGAGAGCATGCCAACAGGGAGAGGACATGCATTATTAATGCAGAGGATATGAATTATTCATGAGGATCAGAGTTGATGCCAAATCCTGACAAGGGTGATTTAGAGGAAAAACTGGTTAACATCACTTTCATGTCTTTTTTCTATATTACTATAATTGACACAATATAGTCTTGTGTGCATGCCAGCAAATTTTGGGTGGATAGTAGAGGCAAAAGGAGAGGGAATGGAGTCTAGTTTGCATTTGTTTTATAGTATTTTTGGTAGTTCAGTTTCTCAAGATGTAGTCATTTTGTGTACCTTTACTCAAATATATGCAAGAATATTCACTGCAGTATGCTTATCGCTCAGGCATAGAAAAGTCAGACAAAGATTGTGAAACAGGCCTTATTTGTCAATTTTGTTCTACCAGTAGACCAGCCTGCTGAGACCATCTTGTGCTATAATTTATAAAGAAGGCAAATTACATTGTTGTCAGAGATGAATGCCAACTAAAGTTTTGGTAGAATGACTCATGCAAAAGTGGGGACTTCTTGTGGGAAGTGACAACCAGAACCCGGTGATGGTGTCTGTAGTCAGGCATGTTGTTAGTATTAAGCCAGGCCATACGGAGCCTGGATCAGTACTTGATGTATGTATGCTGGGTAGTTTGAGTCCCAGAGAGCCAGTCAGCAGGCAGGGAGGGTATGTTGACACACCCAGTCACCATGCAGTGAAGGATGACCTTTCAACCGGCAACTAATATGGCAATGGCTTTATTAATGGAATCCAGACAAGCGTCTTTGGAGGAGAGCCATGTCTGGGAGTGTTTATAATTAAACTGCATTTATAAGTAAACTGCATTTCATGGCAAGCAGCTGTTGTGTCAAGGAATGTCCCCAGGTTTGGGTAAAGATAAGACAATGAGATAGGAATCAATCCTGCTTGTTTGACTCACTAGGTCTATGACCTCTGACCTTCTTTGGCTTCAAGTTTTCAGTCTATACAGTGTGTGCCACTGAAAGGTATTCTTGGGAACATCAAGTAAGATCATATCTGAGCACATGCAGAGAAAGTACACAGTATAGATTCTTATTACAGTATTATCTTTAAAGTAATCAAAGATGAGTTAAGGCTGGCAAATGCATCTAAGGAGTATCCGTTTCCTTGCCTTTCTATCTGAACGTGGCCAAAAGCATATTTTATCATTATTAGTATTTAAATTTACTTTAATGAATACATCAAAACATGAAAATGTCCATATTTCTGGTACCGTGTTGTGCTTTGATGCCTATGTAAATATCTTTATCCTCATTCAGTGAAAAAAAATCATGGCAGAATTTATTTAGCTATAGACCTTTCTTTCCTTTAGAAGATGTTCTTATAAAAGATATACATATAAACAATATTTACTATAGCTTATACTATAAATAAGACAGGAGGCTATAACTAGGCAATCTGTCAATGGACAAGAAGCAAGCTAGGAGCACCTCTATGATGGGGTTGCCAATGGGGCACCTTCAGTTAAAGTCTTAAACTTTGTCCTAAGCAACCAAAGTAGGTGTTAACCTACTCTTTGCCTTGAACACCAGAAAGCCAAATGAAATTCAGTTCATTTAATTGACAGGTCTGTGTGTCTTCACGTCTGCAATCCCTTGAGCTATCTGCACTGGCTCTTCCAGGCCTCAGGCTGTGCCCTGGGTACAATATTTGTTCAGGAATGTGGATGTTTCTATTTGGGGAGCTGATGGGGAGGAGGGGAATAGCTATCTATAATTACCTAATTCTCAAAAGACACTGGAGATTTCTTAGATGAGTGGAATAGGCAGGGTCTGCGTCATTAACCTGCTAAGTGTGTTATTTGGATGGATTACATTCAGATCTTCATTTGGTTTGTTTCTTTGCAATGGAGAGAATTTTCTATCCATAATTATCCTAGCTGATCCACAGTGCAATTCTCGGGGCTTAAATTTAGACCTACTTTCTTTATCTCTACATAGTTCCTCAATGACTTAGTGTTTAAATGACCTTTCTTTTCTTGTATCTGACAACTTATCAGTAGGGACCACTTGAGCTCTGCTCTGGACAGTTCTCTGTCCACATCTCCAACTGAGAGACTAGGAGGTCTTAAGCTTAATGCTTGATTGATTTACACATACTTGTTTCTCATAATATTATCTTCATCTTAGCCATCAGGCAACACTTTAGTTGCTCTGACAAAACCAACTGTAATCCAGAAACCAAGGGAATCAAACACCATATCTCCCTTTTTCTTGTCTTGCTCACTGCAGTCAAACCATTAAGAGACCTTGTGAGCTCAGTCTTTGAGTTGTACCTGGAGTCTGTCTCCTATCATTTAGTCATCTATAGGCACCACTCTGGTTAAGCCCCATTCTTTCTTCTTTGTGGTATTGGAGTAACTGCCTAGTGTGCCGCCCCCCCCCCCAGCCCACATCTTCATTCAGTTCTTCCTCAACACCGCCCGTGGCCCATGCAACTGAGTCCTCTACTTACCAGCCTGTGTTTGTTCCTGCTCCTGTATCTCCTCTGGCTGCTTCTCTGGTATTCCCTAGTTCCCTCTTCTGTACTCAGCTCCTATCTTCTCACTGAGACCTTTCCAAACATTCTTGTTTGTTTTTGTCCTCCCTGCTTCTATATCCATAGACATATTTCTTCCAAGTCTTGCTACCCAGCACATTTCAATCTGTATACTTACCTATTGCTTGTATCCCCTTCCCTACCCCGTGGGAACATGGGAATGCCCATGGAATTTCTCTCCCCTCTCACAACAGCTGTGCCCAGAGTAGACACCTGATGAAGACTTTTAGAGTGGATGGAAGAAGGTTCCTACCACTGTTGCCTCTGATATAAGGGTGCATTAAAAATTCCGGCATTATGACTAGAACTTGATGTGAGTTTTAAAATATTTACCAGCCTGATTATTCTGTAAGAACAGAGACACTCTCCATATCCACCTAATGCATGATCATCATAAAGAGCTCAACACAATGCTCATCGTAGAGAAAACCCAATTAATATTTATTACTGCTCTGTTCTCGGTCCTACAATTACTGCTTGGAGAGATGGCGGCACTTAGCTCATTATTATTTTCCTAGCCTTTACCATACTAACTCTTAGCTTCAAAGCAATTGCTTTTTAGGTGGAAGAGCACACTTAATGTCCAAGAGATAGTTTATGTACAAGCACAAATATCCCTGGCCACTGATGCTAGGGACAGAAAGAATGTTTGTCTTTTTATGATTGTCCATGTTATTTCATAAACACCCATAATGCCCTCAAAGGAAATGCATATCTCCCGGAAATGCCAGTTTGAATGAACCTGCTGGGCCAGGAGCTTTTACTCCTAATTTGGGTGTCTTGAAAGGCAAACAGGGAGTGGACAGATTTTAGGAAAAACTATTTCCTCACCCCTTCATTGCCTTGTTTCACTTGACTCACTATCCCAGAGAGATTTCATATTTCATTTAATTCATTTAAGATTTTTAGACTTTGATTCATTTGTTACAGTGCCCATCTCATATATATATAT